AACGGGGGAGGCAGGGAAGTGGGGATTGTAATGGAACCGACTTACTCAATGGCACAGTGGCACCAATGGAGGTGTCTACAATAAGCCTGAGCTGGACCATTGAGCAATGGTTCTTCCTGCTCTGAAGCAGAGGACTAATGTAGTGCTGCTTTCTACTCTTTGTATGTAAATAGCGCCTTACCACATACCGTGTCACTTCCCTGGCCAAACTAGTGACTTACTGGTCATGTCCTGCACTACTAATAATGTGTTTCTATTCTCAGTCCTGACCTCCTCTCCTGAATTCGGAGACCTGGAGAAATAAAGGGACTCTGTTCCACATAGAAATGAACAGAATGTTGCACTACATCTGTAACTTAAGGAGTGGCACTGTCCAACTCCAGAATAGAGAAAAGCAGGTTGGCTCAAGATGTGTTGTAGGAGTTAGTGGACTACAAACAAGACAAATTAAGTGGGTGAAAGGATATTTACATTGTTTGTGACTAGTTTTTGTCTTTGTCATGCACAAAATGTAAACAAGCCTGGACATAAGAGACTGCATCAGAATCAAGACAGTTGGCTTGCACCTACAAATAGACCCTGTGGGTGTCTCTCATATGACCAATTTCCAAAAAATGCAACAGGGTACAGGCTGATACCTTCTCCAGCTTCTTATGGCTCCACACAGACTTTTTATTCTGTGCACGACATAATAAAATCCAAAGATTAGTTGAGTTAAACCACCACTATTTATTTCTTAACCCCCGATTTCTCTAAAGCAGTGCTTCTAAACCACTGGTCCCTGAGGTCTCCCTCACAGAGTTTGGGAAGCAAACAAGCTGGTCCCTGGTATCAAAAAGACTAGGAAACACTGCTCTGGAGAAAGAAAGCTGCAGCTTACTACCACAAAGTCTTATGTTTTCTTGTCTGAAAGGTTTTGATGAGTGCTGAACCTGCCAAAGCTTAGGAAGCAAAAGACTCAAACTAAGGAGTACAAGGATATTACGGGAAGCTTTAAAAGTCATGGGATTAATTTATTTAGCATAAAAGGTATTGAAGCAGAGTTCACAGCCAGGATATGGCATTCTGGTATTAATTATTTACAGTTACAGAGAGAACAGGCAGTAGGTGAGCTGGAAACTGTCCAACTCACAGCCTCTCATGTCCAACTCAAGGCTCCTGAGGTAATCCATGCACACAAATCACCTGATACAGCTGCAACATTCAGCCACTTGTATCAAGACTTTCGACCATTACTGTTGAATATTACAGTATTTGTATAAGCACTAACACATCTAAGGAAGATGATGTCAAGCCCTCCTACCTATTATTATTCTATAATCATTCTCCACTGGAAGTCTGCATATAAAATTAGAATCTGATACCAATTTCAATGGACATACTCAGACTGGATTCCATGACATCCCACAACCAGAACACAGAGTGGTCTCAAAGGGCCTGTCCCCACCTAATGTTTGAATCTGATTTATTCATATGTCAGGCTATGCACAGCTTGTTTTTAAATACATTTATAATGATTTGTTTCCTCTGAGGGAATAGTAAAACATTTCTAATGCTACACAACAGCACTGAGGATATACAGCCTCTTCCCGACTTACGAACCAGTAACAGACTAAGCAACTGGTCGTAACTTGGTTCGTTCATAAGTCGGACCCCAGAGTTACACGTGACCGCGCTGTTCATAAGCGCGGCTCGCATTCGTAACTTGGGGTCCGCCATTTACAACACCTTTGGTCATAACTGCAAACAGTTGTAAGTCGTTCGCAACTCGGGGACCGGCTGTACCAAGGCAAGACAACTCAAATTTGTCACCAGTGTGATCCCATGTGACTGCACCAACTCTTAGAATAGCAGAACTTGTTAGCAAACACTGGGGTTTGTTAAATTGGGCTTGAGTGTCTACACTCAATTGTAAGCACAGGTTAGGAATTGTTGAACCTGAGGTCCCAACCTAAGGTTCCAGCATCTACACAGTATTATACAGGCTAGAGTCCAGTCCTAGCACCCTCCCACTACAGCCCTATGGAGTATGGAAAAACATGATTGTCCATAGGACACAGAGTCAACCCATGAAATTGTGGGACATTTTTGGCAGCCTCCTAGAGCATGAGTCCAGCAAAGATGCAAAATAATAGGGCTTGACTGTTGGGTCCCAGCTGAACTAAGGCTTGGGCCCTCCATGCCCATAGGATCTTGGCACTCTGAATCCAAGCCCTGGGGTAGGACATTTTTTGTTTAGACACACAGAGGTTTAAGCTTCAGCTTGACTTTGAACCTTAGGCTGGCACTGCAGTGTAAACAAATCCTTAGGCTATGTCTGGACTGAGATAAACACATGGCATAGCCTCAAGCTGACTTGGAGTTGTGGAGCTCAGGTTGTGGGACTATAAAATTGCAGTGTAGATGCTGGGGTTTACGGTGGAGCTCAGATTCTAAGATTTTGAGTAGAGTCAGAGTCTCAGAGCACTGGCTCCACTTGAGCGCCAATGTCTACACTGCAATTTTTAGCCCCTCAACCTGAATCCCATGAGGCTGAGTCACTTGACCCAGGCCCAGGCTTAGGGCTGCAAGTTTTACCCCTGGACCAGTGAGAGACAAGCCAAAAATGTTTCAGCAGCACCATCTGACGTGCGGCTCCCCACTTGGAAAAGGGACACTGCAGATAAATGCAAGAGCTCAAGATCCAGAAGAAAAATAAACCCCCAGATATTGACTTACCCCTTGAAATGCTGGCAGAGCCTGAGAAGGAAAGCATCGGGTCTCAAAAAAGGTGGGATGCCTGAACAGTGGTGTCCCTTGTGTGACCACCTATGGTGCTGGCCCTCCTCACAGCCCTACTTTGCTCAGTCAAGTCCTGTCACTCAGGAGACTTTAAACCTTGCCTGATGCCCTTCCCGTACAATTGCTGCCCGCACATACCCCCAGCACGACCCCTCCTGCTCCCCCGCTTCCAGCCTAGCCTCCCCAATCGATCCCCTTCTGCCCCAAGCCTCCGCCCTGCCCCCTGCCGCTCCCCCTCCCTTCACCCGGACTCGTCCACTCCCACATCCTCCCACACACACGCCTTCTCCCCACGGAGCTCTCCGCTCTCCCCGCCGCCCCCGCTCTCC